GGAAGCCTGCTTCTCCCTCTCCCACTCCCCCTGCTTGTGCTCTCTCTCTCGCTGTGTCTCTCTCTGTCAAATAAATAAATAAAATCTTTAAAAAAAAATAAAAAATAAAATAAAATTTGGTTTACCACTGTGCACCTCACTCTAATCTAAAAACTTGACTATTTTGCCACAAACATCAATGTTTAACATTTTAATATATCTGTGTATTTTTATACTTCTTGACAGTATTTCTAGGATCACAAAGGTAAATTGCTAAAAAAAAAATCCCTTTCCCCCAGATGGCAATTGTGGGGGTGAAAGGAGTTAGTCTGGTATGACACTAGAAACCAAAGTAGACGTTAAATGTTAACTATACCTGTGACCTCAAACTCCTCTATAACTGCCCTAAGGTTCTAAAAAATTAACTAGACTTTGTTGAAGTCCTAACTGCTGTGACTCCAATTTACTCCCCTAAGACTCCAAGCCTGGGAAAAAAACAAATGAAAAAATATTCACTGAAATAAAATCAAGAATGTACTATAAAATGATCTGTGGTGGTTATTTCCTTTTCCTTGAGGTCTCCTTTAGTGGTGGGTTAATCTGACAGGAAGGTAAAGTCTAGTATTTGGGAAAGGAAAAGATGTAAGAATATCTGAAAATATGTCTGCGTTCCAGATATTAGCCCACTATTCTGTGTATTATATACACTTCTCTCCATTGGCACCGGTAATAATTTTTGAAATTGTCATTTACCTATCAGGAGGCTCTTCTAGTGCCACCAACAAGTATACCTATTTTGGTCAACACTGTCCTCTTTGGAAAATAGGCAAGGAAAGAATCCAACTGCTTTATTCCACTACATAGTCCAGCAGCTGGATCAAATATGCTCCATGGAGGTCAGCGAAACTGAGAACAGCTGGCATAGAAATGTCACCCTTCAAGTTGATTACACAACGAAAAGGTATTTCTCATCAGGCTACTGGGAAGATTCTACTCTCTCAATATATACTGTGCACTAAAAACAGACTTAAGGGGGCGCCTGGGTGGCTCAGTCGGTTAAGTGTCTGCCTTCAGCTCATGATCCCAGGGTCCTGGGATCAAGTCCTGCATCAGGCTCCCTGCTCAGAGGGGGGTCTGCTTCTCCCTCTCCCACTCCCCCTGCTTGTGCTCTCTCTCTGTCAAATAAATAAATAAAACTAAAAAAAAAAAAAAAAGAAATCTAGATTTGTACATAAATTAGAGAATGATTAAATGTTCTTAACTTAGAAAAGAAGTGTACCCAAGACTCACTCTTTAGAAATCACTCTCTTCTCCTGGTTTTAGCATGACTCAGGTGATCAAATTTTTTGATTACAGGAATTATATGACCTGACGGATATACTTATAAACTTTTGTAAACTCCAGTCTCTTCCTAGTAACATATAGCTAAAGGAGGGAGATGAGTTAAAGAATCCCCCAAGTATTTAGTCTCTGTTTAACCAAGCACCTCAACTTTTTAGGAGTGGCAAAACAGGATTTTTTAACCTTTTTTTTTTCTTTCTCCTAACACTCTCTAGTAATGAAACTGAGAAACTTAATTGCCCAAGAAGGGAGGAAAATCCAAATTGGTCCATCTAGAGTTGCTATCTGTGTATAAAGAATCTACAATACTGAAACTCATTTTAAAAATCTCTTTTTCAAGTGAAAGCTGTTAATTGATGCTAATTCAGTTTCATTTTTAAGATCAGAAGGATGCTAAACTACATTGTAAGGATGCTACTCTTACCAGAAGTTTCAAGGGCCCCCGACGTAGAAATGAGAAAATTTTAAAGTATCATCTTAGAAAACTTGCCACTTAGAGGGCCAAGTCTTTATAAATGAAAATGTCTGGATTTAACAACAACAAACGTCTTACTGAAAAGCACTAAAGTTTAAAATAAGACAGATATTTACCTATTAAGCTGAAAGAGAAAAATGATGCTCAAAGTCATATGAAAGCTTCAGTGTTTGCAAACGCATGCCTCTGCGGCTAGAAGGAAATGGGAGTGTGTGCCGCCCTGCAGTATAGTCCATGAAGATGGACAGCTACCACTCACTCCAGCCAACTGTAACTCCATGCAGGAATGTGAGCCCCGTGTTGAAAATCTCCTTTTCCATCAAATAATTATGCAAAGTCTTTCCATTTTTAAGTATTAACATTTTTATTATAAAAATCTTACAGAAAAAAGTCCCAGTTAAGAAAAGGGGTCAAAAAGCGTCTATAATCCACATGCAGGCAGGCAGTTTATGACATGAGAACTAGTCGTCTAAGTCCTAGTCTAGTTCTAATCTCATATTACTTGGTATAAATACCTTAAAGTAAAATGCTTAGCATTCAGGGAAATTCAACATTAGAAATATTAGCCATTCCTGGAAATAGATTTTGGACCTAGAAATAGTGTTTGGAGTTTTAATGGGAAAAATGGGAAGAAAAGACTTGGTAGAACTCTACAAACATTAGAAAGAAAACAAATACCTCCATCATCTTCTATTAGGTCTTTACAAAATTAAGTGTTAGAAGTTTCTTCTTTTTATACCTAAAACCTGAATGCTAGAATGGGCTGAGTTACAATGTCACATGGAAGACTGATCATTGGTTAGAGCATTGTTTCTGAACTTATTACAAGATATTAGGCTCTTTGGAAAATACCATCATACCTCTGACAAGATTTCAAGAAAAGCAATAGAGAGAATTATAATTACAAAGCACACCAATGGCCAGGACCAAATATGACTGCTTGAAAAGAAGAAATGTTTTCCTTAGAAATGATGTGCTGATATGAAGTAGTTGATAAAGGTCTCGTCAATTAAAACCGACCGATGGAATTTAACTGGCCATAGTCAAGTATCACTTTAAAAAAGGTAAGTTAATTTGACCAGATCATTCTGAAAAAGAGCATTACTCCCTCTCCTTTCTCACTTGTGACCCAGATAAAACAAATACCTGATTTATCTGAATACTATCTTTAAAAAAAATAAGACCTATCAATTTTATATAACCTTAAAACTCTACCCAAATGGATATGTTCAGGTTTACATAAATATATACACATATATATTTTATAAATGCCAGAAGTCAAGACACAAGCCCATAGGGGTGTGTAGCCATGATAGGCCAATCATTTAACTCTGGCTATTGTAGGACTGTTGAGGTGGGTGGGTCTCTGTCCTACAATTACAGCTGTCAGCTTTTAACACCCTTCCCACGAGGAAATCTTTGCCTTTTGTTCAAAATCTGAACAAAACTCACCTCTGAACTAACAGAGATATGTTAACAGGACACCTGGCACAAAAGGATTAAGACAAAGTGGTTCTTATACAGTTTCTCAGGCTGTCAGTCATCTAGACACAAGTGAGTCAGTATCCACAGTGTTCAGAAGGTAGAGTTCAGGCTGAGCTGTCAATCCCAGACGGTACTAAGGACAAAAAAAATGGAAAAGGGTTAGACTGATTTCCAAGTATTTATTTATTTATGTATTTATTGTTAAAAGATTTTATTTATTTGACAGAGAGAAAGAGCACAAGCAGGGGAAGTGGCAGGCAGAGTGAGAAGCAGGCTTCCCGCTGAGCAGGGAGCCCGACGTGGGACTCGATCCCAGGACCCTGGGACCACAAACCTAGCAGAAGGCAGACACTCAACCGACTGAGCCACCCAGGCACCCCCTGATTTGCAAGTATTTAAATATTGTAACTGGCATGTAGGACCTATAATCAGCACATCAATAGAGGCCTTTATTCAGTACAGCTATACCGATTTTTATTTCAGAAAACAAATAGCTTACAGATACATGAATGGTTTATGGCACATACAATAATAACTGGGAGCTGAAATAGCCTATGAGTTAATAACTGGGAGCTGCGATAGTGCCAAATGCCCTCAGCAAAACTTGCACTTTGACTATTCTTGTAATACACTTGGCTGCATTTTTTTTTTTTAAGATTTTATTTATTTGACAGAAAGAGAGAGCACAAGCAGGGGGAGGGGCAGAGGAAGAGGGAGAAGCAGGCTCCCCGCTGAGCAGGAAGCCAGGACTCCAACTCCGACTCTGGGGCTGGATCCCAGGACCCCAGGATCATGACCTGAGCCGCTTAACTGACTGAGGCAACCAGACACCCCAGGATGGCTACTTCTGATAAGGACATTGAGAGCCAACACACTGAGTGCTTTTGTATTCTAGTACTGTTTTAGAAATCAAATAAATTCTAAATAATTAAAATAAATATTAGAATACTAATTCTAAATTATTAGAATTAAATAGTAATTCTAAATCCTGAGCTCAGTCTAAATCCTGAGCTGTATTATCCAGGTCTCATGATCTTTTGGCACCTGAGCAGAGAAAAGCCTTTCATTAAAAAAAAAAAAAAAAAAGCGCCGAGGGAGGGAAATGACCTATGGGTCTCAAATGTTTGTCAGGCTGAATTGGAATCGCTTGGACTGCTTTTAAAAGTGCCAGACTGCCTTCCTGGAAACCTGAATCCCTATGGTTTATTCTGTTTTGAAGTAGGCTCCACAACCCAGAACAGAGTCCAGCACCAGGCTTGCACTCATGACCGAGATCGAGACGTGAGATGAGATCAAGAGTTGATTGCTTAACTGACTGAGTCAGCCAGGTGCCCCACCTTTTTTTTTTCTGAATCCGTATGGTTTGTGTTGGGATCTGTGAAGTTGTAGTTTACTCCTTTTCTCTCCTCTGCATACACCGTGAGACAATCACTGAATCTCATTTTAGCCCTACTGTTATTACTTAGGGCTTTAGGAATGTCATCACCCCTTGGCATCAATAGCCTATGAGTTAATGTAGAATGTAGACTATAAATCCATAGAAGGAGAATATCCCTATTATAGTATAATAGAAAAGGCACCAGAGTTGGTTTCAAGCTCTAACTCTGCCACTTCCTGTGACCTTGAGCAAGCTCATGTACCCTTTTGGAGCCTTATCCTACTTATTTGTAAAATGGAATAAATGCTACATTTGAAAATGCTGAGTACATTAATGTGCTATTAGTCTTCAACAAATGTAACTTTTTAACATATTACAAATTGCCCCATATACCTCACAGGCTTGTGATGGCTATGTGAAGATGACCCCAGAAGAAGCCCAAGATAAAACTATTCTAAGAACAGTGACTAACACTAGCTTTGGGGCAAAGACAACTCTTCAGACAAGGCTCCTTATTCACTTCAGGTCTTACGTCTCAGGTTTTAGTAACCAAGAGCGATTGTCAGATACACTATAAATTCACTGCAGCCTTTTCACAAGAGCTGAGGTGGTGGGCTTCCTCATTATGTAGTAGGCAAGGGTTGCATTATTAGTCCTGTGATCCCCAGTCACTCATAGATGACTTACTAGACAGAACCTCCTTGTTGAAGTTTGTCTGAGACACTGAAAAATGACACAGGAATAGGCTAAATACTGTCAGGGGCAGAGAGGTAGTGCAAATGAGTAAGCTTAATATTTCTTAGCTACCACTGGGGTAGGATCACAGAGGGACCTGCCCTGTTCATCTGGCAGACAAACGCTTACCCAAAAGCATTCAAAGTTGTTTCAAATTTAGCACAGGCCAAACAAAATTAGTTTACCAGTTGGCAACTTGTGAGCTAAAACATACTCTATAATCAGAGCATCACGCAAATGCTTTGATGTGTTCCTGGTCCTGCCAAAAACCCAGCTTGGTGTCTTAACCTTGCATGAAACGTGTACTATGTATTATATAGGATGGTTTGGTAATGACAATGTGGGCCCTGGAGTTAAGCTATTCAAGTTGAAACGCCAATTGCCTATTTACCAGCAATGTGATGTGGGAAAGTTACTTTTTGGCCTTTCAATCGCCTCATCTATAGAGAGGCTGATGCCCTTGTTATAACAATTAAATGAGGTCATAGGAGTGCTCAGACCAGGACTAGCACATAGTAGTCAGTGTTAGCCGTTTTTAACACTCATAAACTAAGGTGCCAAGAGAAGCTGATACATTTAGATTCACTGGTCCTATCCAATAAAGAAGCATTCCAGAGGGCGGAGCTAAAAGAAATGTCTCAAATCAGGATCTTCAAATTGTTACATCTTATTTTAGTTCTGAAATTAAACCCAGATTAAGAAGGGAGAGCTAAATGAGGGAGGACAACACCGAGAACGCAATTCCCAGATTACTTCTGTCCTGTTACAGTATTTGGCTCCTGTAAGACACACAGGAAAAGCTTACAACAGAGAAAGGGAAAATGAAGTTCTAGTGACAACCTTGGGATAAATGAAGTGCTGACTTTCCTGTCATTTGTATGGTGACAGGGCCTGTAGTTTACTATGCCTGAGCTTTGTTTTATTACATGGTGACAATATTTCCATTTATATCAGTTCTGCCAAAATGCTTTCAATTTTTAAGCTAAGCAATTTTGGTTTTTCTTTTCAAATACTCATACTTTTTATTGGCAGCACATACGGAATATAAAAGCATACTTCAATGGTGAAACAAGACTACAGATAGAAAAATGTTCAGCTTAGAGCAAAGAAAGGCAGAATAACAATTTTTTTCGAGTTTAAATATGGCAATGATGTGACCTTTAGCAACAGCAAAACTATTTGACTAAGTGGGTAAACTGGTATTAGTGTTTGGGGTCTGCAGTTCATCAAGTCTTCTCGGGACTAAACCTATTTACACCTCCATCCTTTTAAAAGAATCACTAACAATGTGGGCTTAAAATGTCATCTAGGTGGTGGCTGATGCTGCAGTATTTTGGAAATATTTTCTTTTCTTTTTAAGATTTTATTTTTATTATTTATTTGTCCGAGAGAGCGCGCAAGTGCAAGTATGAGGAGCGGCAGGCTCCCTGCTGAGCAAGGAGCCCGATGCTGGGCTTGGTCTCAGGACCTTTGGATCATGACCTGAGCCGAAGGCAGACGCTTAACCGACTGAGCCACCCAGGCATCCCCGGAAGTATTTTCAAGGTTAAAAAAATACCCAGGAAACCAAACAGGAAAAGGAAAAATTTTTAATTACAAACCAAGTTTACATACTGTTAAATGGGCACAAACAGCTCAGTTGTAACCACTTGTAATACCACGAGTAGGACCTCACAGGAGCCAAACTACAGCTCTTCCCCATCCATTAACTCCCCGTGTGCTGTAACAGCACAATTCCTTCATGTCACATTTATGGAGAACAAGGACCACTTTACATAAAAGTACAACTGTATACCCTGAACATTCGGCACAAACACCACATGCTGGCACTGGGAGACTTCACAGCATTGTTTATTGCACCTAGAGTACTGGTTGAAGTATACTTTCGCTCTGACAGGATCAAATGGAATACAGTATAGGAGTATTTTTAACACTGTCAAACACCACACATATAAGACGCCATTTAACTGGGAAGAAATTTTCCATCACCTTAAGTCATAAGCAAAACTTTTAAAAGAAAATAAGCAGCTTTACCTGAACTTCTAAATATTGTGAATCTGAGACTGACTGGACCTACCCAGACTCAGGGCAAAGGTTGTAAGTGTTATTGTACTGTCTTTACAAAAAATTTTTCTTGTCAGTTTTGCCTTCACCTAGTCCAGCCAGATGAGAGATGAAGATGTCAGTCCCTAGTATCTTCACAGAGTGCCCTTATGACCAGTTTGGGGAATAATGACATGGAGAGGGGCAGATGTGAGGACAAACAGTGAGGGAAATTTATCTTTCATGATCCTGTGCTATATTACTTGAGGGGCTAAGATAAGGTATGGTCAGTGATATACAGCAGTTTATCCTTAATGCCTTTTGAAAGACAATCCATCCAATCTGTACTCTTGACTGTGTGCAAAATATCAGCAATAATGCATTTAGGGGCTCAGATGAAGAGAGAATGTCAATCAACTGGGACTCTAGAAGGAAAGCCCCCAAAATGCGAAGTCCTTCAATGCCATTCCCATTACTGTTCTCATCAAGTCAATGGCTGTAACAGACTTGATTATTTATCTCCACCAGACAAATGTGATTTGACTGGATATAATCACATAATCTCAGGCTCCACATGTAAAAATGTCAGCAGTGGCTGAAGAGCAGCAGCTTCATGCTGAAGGGACCCATGTCCTCTGACTCCAGAGCTCCACCATCTGGTCTCAAAGTTTTTCCCTCTGAGGGAATGGCTGAAGAGAGGTAGCCCAGTGCAACCTTGCTGAGAGAACTTTTCAATCACAGTGGTTCCTACTGACTTGCTGAGAGCGAGAAAGAGCTTTGCAACGGTTAGGTCCACAGCTCCTGAGATTGCCTTGCAAGTTGTCTTGGGCATGCTTCGGAAAACCATGACAATTCTGGTAGGAGGTGTCTTTTAGGAATAAAACAGATGGCTCTTCTTTCCTTTAAAGTCTCTTCTCATTCCAAAATCTCATGTCAGTTCATAAATGCTACCATCTTTTTCTATAACCAACCTCCTGAATGAGGAAGGTGAAGGTTTTACAACTCTATGTGCTCAAGAGTAAATATCATCAGGAAAGCTCTGTACTAACATGAAAGTTAAGAAAATCAGGACTCAAAAGAAAATCCTGATAAGCTTTCGATCTCTGAGGAAAATCTGCTCAGTGATTTTCCAAGGTGATTAATAACCACCACCTACATGTCAGCTTTGCTATTTGTTTAGCACCGGCTTTAACCTTTCTCATCCCTCTTAACTTCCACCAAGAAATTTAAAGTGGAAATAAGTTAAAAGAATCCTGAACCTGAAAGAGGGAGATGTTTCATAATTTTATATTTAATATGGATGGATGAAACCAGTTTCGTTGAGTTTTGTTTTTTTTTATAATCAAAATAACTAACAGGGTATGCGTAAGAAGAAAAGTTTTTCTCAGCCTTTTATCTTTTTATAAACAAAACCTGCATACCCATCCTGTAATTTATCTTATGAGAACTTTATTGTATTTCTCAAATATGTTTTTTTTTTTTTTAACACATAGCCTGGTTAAGAAGCATGCATATAGGATTATCTCTCAAAAGGATAAAACAAGCTGGCCCTTGGGCAGCTACTTAAGAGTTTGTGTTGGAATGATAGCAGCAGATGTCAGCTTTTCAAAGATCCTATCTAATCTAGTTCCCAGGTTAGAAGGTCAGGAAGAAAAAAAAAATTCCATCTTTCAAACATATATTGAAACAAAGTCTTTCCCAACAAAGAGTTGAGTCTTAAATGCAGTCTGTGCAACAGCACATACTTTTGGCTATGTTCACACAGTAAACCACAGAAACACACTGGCTCTGATGGCTATACGTGTGGAAGACAGCCAGACCAATCCAGTATTTACTTAGTATAGCCACCAGTGACTTCTCCAGTCAGCAGGACTTTAGAGATGCTTACCGTGTGCCCACAGTCCAGGAAGGACATGCCCAATGCAATCAAACATTGCCAGCCCTGAAAGATAAAGTATGGTCATCATTCACCAACCTCTCTGCAGATCCCTCTTCCCATCATGATGGCTCAAACTGCACTGCTCAGATGCAAACTGCTCTCTTCCCTTTTTTTTTTAAGATTTATTTCTTTCTTTGTCAAAGAGAGAGAGAGAGGAAGGCGGGGAGGAGAGAGAGAGAGCGAGAGAGCACCAACAGGGCGACAGGCAGGCAGAGGGAGAAGCAGGCTCCCTACTGAGCAAGGAGCCTGATGCGGGACTCAATCCCAGGACCCTGGGATCATGACCTGAGCCAAAGGCAGACACTCAACTGACTGAGCCACCCAGGTGCCCCCCTGCTCTCTTCCTTGAACATCTATCTAGCTCTGCTCATCTCCTACCACCCAGGTTGCACAAGTCATTCTCCCAACCCCATACCCCCTTCAAGACATCCTGGAATCTGCCTTCCTCAACAAAGTTTCTTCATACTATTTTCAGTATCGAGTTGCCAGTTCCTGCTGCTTTGTGTTTGTCATTCGTTTCTTTTGCCAACTGGGAGTTCCCTGAAGACCATTTTTCTTCAGTCCTACCCCATTCCTCTCATGATGCAGGCAGAGGTGGAGGTAATGACCGACAGACCAATACAACTGGGATAGTATCCCAAACTGCTCTATGAAATACGTGTTTTGGGGCTTAACAGCAGTAACCGACCCTGGATCAGTCCTCAGCCTAAAAATGGGCCTTCAAAAACCTTGACAGTCTCAGGGTGACTGAGGACAACTCAGTCTCTTCATAGCTAATTTGTAGGAAGGAAGGATTCCCTTAACTTCTATAGTGAATTTTTAAAATAATTCCTGTCGAGGACATGTTCAGTTACTTGGGTTTCCTTGGAGTAAATCCCTAGAATATAGGTTCAGCATAACCCTAGAGTGCTCAAGGTTTACTGGGGAAGAAAGAAGAAAAAAAAAATAAATCCAGGACATAATTTTTCAATAGTCACTAAAGTGATTTTCTCAATCTACTGGCATGGGGACTAGGTAAGAGCTAAAAAGATCAGCAGGTCTCCAGCCTCCATCCTTAACCATTCTCTGCAGCATGTATGGTATAAATTCTGCTGTCCCTAACCCTGCACACATGCATTTTTTCAGAGAAATCTGTACAGAACAGGGAGGGAGCATTTGTTGTTTTTGTTGCTAGAACTATCTTCCATTACTATAAGTAATGTTACAGAAGATTTGGAAAATAAACAAAAGAATATATCCATCAAGGAAACATCCTAACACAACTCCTATCACCATTTTTTACATAATTTACCCGATCTTTAAAAAAAAAAATTTATTATCTTGGAATACATTATTCTGCATTCATTTTCTGTGTAGCTATGATTTTATAACCATCATTTTTAAATAACTCTAGAGTAATTCAATGAGAGAATATCACTATTCTTTCTTCAGTAGACAGCTATTAAAATCTTGTGCCACTCCCTACTTTCTATACTGTTCTTTTAATTCCTCAAACACACTACACTCTCTTAACAGGAATTTTTTTTAAGTTATTTATTTATTTATTTGAGAGGGAGCGAGCACAAGCATGAGCGGGCAGAGGGAGAGGGAGAAGCAGACTCCCCACTGAGCAGGGAGCCCGAAATGAGGCTTAATCCCAGAACCCTGAGATCATGACCTGAGCCAAAGGCAGATGCCTAACTGACTGAGCCACCCAGGTGCTCCTCTTATCAGGAATTTTTAAGAATGGAAACCAGACAGAAGTGACATGACAGCTCTTAAGAATCAAAATAAATCTTATGGGTTAAAAATACCGTTTAACCACAGGTGACTTAATTTCATGTAAACTGTCTCATTAACCTGGAGATAGGATTGCTATGCACTTTAAAAAGAAAAGATTGCTATGTGCTCTTTTGGGTCCTTTCATTTTGGTGTTAATAAGCCCTATCTCTACCATCTCTGATACCTACACCTCTGGCCCTCCTGAATTGACTTACCAGGTAAAACACAAAGCTCAGATAAGCCACACTGACCACAGCAGCTACCACATACAATGCCACATGCCCGAGTTCCTGGACATAAACCAGGACAAAGTACATGTTGATGGAACAGACGATAAGGACCAATATCCCGCCTGCAATCCTCCAGCCTCTGTAAAAGAACCATGAGTCACTGGTGGAACAATCCAACCCATTCACAAGCAGAAAAGGACACTGTCCGGTGGGGTAGACAGGACAGGAGTAAGAGGCATCTCAAAATGAACTGAAAATTGTTCTTACTATGTCCCAAGTAAGACACCAATAGGGAGAAAGAGGGGGGAAAATACTCTCAGATAATCCTTAATATTTAACTCCCTAGAAATTCAACAAGTCCTGAGTACCTAGAGATGCAACAAACAATTTCAAAAACCCCATACCCTTTCAAAATGTATATAAAAGGTATTTGTTTATGGTTTTCTCATTAAGATCATTTAACATGGAATTAAGGTGCTTTACACTTCAGTGACTGAAGCTGAAGAATTAAAGCCCTAAGAGCGGAACTTTCTCCTGCTAGAAATGAAAAACATGTGTGCCTTCTTTACCACATTCAGTCTTTGTTTTCTGAGCCAAAGACTGAGGGGCAGCTCCAGCATTCACCTCTCAAAACATGTGGTTCCCCTATATGACTCATTTTCTGACTGGTCTATTCAATGAAGACATGCTTCCCCCACATATTTTTGGGGAACTGAGAAAAGTAGTACACTCACATTCCATTGGCAAAGTCATTCATAACTGGCCGCAAGCTTGTAAACGTGAGGATGGGTATCAGAGCAAAGGGAAGCTGGAAAAGAAAGAATGAGGATCAGATGGGGCTCCTGGAAATCCTTGTATTATCCCCAAGAGCAGCACTGTTAGCACAAGGGAAACACACATCCTGCCTCATCCACCCCATGAGAAATTATTCCTATCATCCCAAGATGCTCACGCCTTATGCTGAAATCTGTAGAGCCGTCATTAACTTAGCACTGATTCTGATCCTGTGTCTTTATAAACATTCATATCTGCCTTGCCTTTTTAACCTCAATAGGACCTAGCAGTGTCCTATGTTATTTAATGTTTGCTTGGATTAAAAACAGTAATTTTATACTCTATACGTAATTATAGCAGATAATTCCCATTCAACAGGCTTTTATTTTATTTTATTTAAAGATTTTATTTATTTATTTGATAGACAGTGAGAGAGGGAACACAAGCAGGGGGAGTGGGAGAGGGAGAAGCAGGCTATGCGGGACTCAATCCCAGGACCCTGGGATCATGACCTGAGCCGAAGGCAGACACTTAACGACTGAGCCACCCAGGTGCCCCAGGCTTTTTTTTTTTTTTAAGATTTTTTTTTTCTTTTAAGATATTATTTATTTGAGAGAGAGACCACTAGAGAGAGAGAGAAAGAATACAAGCAGGGGGAGCAGCAGGCAGAGGGAGGAGGCTCCCCACTGAGCAAGAAGCCTGACGCAGGGCTCGATACCAGGACCCTGGGATCACAAACCGAGCTGAGCCAGATGCTTAACCAACTGAGCCACCCAAGCGCCCCTTTTTTAAAAGATGTCATTTATTTATTGGACAGAGAGATAGCACAAGCAGGGGAGCTGCAGGCAGAGGCAGAGGGAGAAGCAGGCTCCCCACTAAGCAGGAAGCCCGATGCGGGGCTCAACACAGGGCTCCATCCCAGGACCCTGGGATCATGACCTGAGCTGAAGGCAGATGCTTAACCGACTGAGCCACCCAGGCGCCCCTCAACACGCTTTTATAAACCAAACCATTTCTAAAAGCTTTTTAGATACCAGGGATTCCATACATTTACTGCAGACTGAGACTGTGCCTCTTTCTTCCTCTGAATTTTCCCCAGCACCCAGCACTACAGGCTTGGTACCTACAGGCAATACATAATGCTGCCTGATTAAAAGGGATGGGAGTGGGTGCCTGGTTGGCTCAGTCATTAAGCGTCTGCCTTCAGCTCAGGTCATGATCCCAGGGTCCTGGGATCGAGTCCCGCATCGGACTCCCTGCTCGGCAGGAAGCCTGCTTCTCTCTCTCCGACTCCCCCTGCTTGTGTTCCCTCTCTCGCTGTCTCTCTCTCTGTTGAAAAATAAATAAAATCTTTAAAAATAAAATAAAATAAAATAAAATAAAAAATAAATGGGATGGGAGTTTCCCCAGCTCCCTCCTCACCTGTAAGCTCTGCAGAACATTCAGGAAGTCATTCATCCCTGTTAGATGCTCTACATCCTGGAAGATAGCAACAAGCAGAGTAGGGATGATGGCAATAGAGCGGGTGAAAATCACTCGGGCAAAGCGTGACCATTTTAGGTTCAGGAATCCCTGGAAGAAAACACAGAAGCAGGATGAATGCCTAGAACAGGAAACAAAGAAAGGTTTGGGGAGGTTCAGGAAGACCCTAGAAGCATGGGATTAAGAAGTAACAAAAGGGCAATCAATGTTTTCTTCCTCTAATCTATACCAGTCAAAACAGCACATACCTCCATGACAAACTGGCCAGAATAAGTTCCTGTCATGGTGGAGCTCTGTCCTGCAGCCAGGATCCCCACTGCCCAGATGTAGAGTGCAGCCGGCCCAAAGTAACATCCCAGTACAACACCCTGGGAGAAGCAAGAGAGAAAGATGTTTGTGTCAATGATCTGCTTAGACAATGACCAAAACAGAATTTCTCTGCAGCATTTCTCCCTCTTCTTTTACTATGTACCAACCTACACCAAGTACTGTGCTGGGCGCTACTCCCCAGAAGCTAGACTCAGGACCTGACCTCATTTTATTTTATTTTTTTTTTTTTTAAGGGTTAACTTAACAAGGATTTATTCACAGGAATACATGTAAGTAGAGAAAAATAACAGAAAAGCTAAACAAATGAAATGAAGAGGATCCAAACCAACTTTCACTCTGTAGCTTTTTACTTGCACCCTGTGTGCATATATCTAGGGCACAGAGGGCCACCAACATGCGCCAATACAGTGTAGGAACCCTGCATTACATCCATTAACTTAAACGTATCTTTAAGATCATGCTTTGAACAAAAAAAGAAAGCTCAGAAGGCAATATGTTGAGTGGGAATAAACACTGAAATATAGCAATCATGTCTTCAACTTCTACAATTGTCTTTATGTGCCGACTAACATTTATGCAGCCTCTTACAGATCTTTTACCATGTATTGTAAGTTTTAGCAGTTCTGATAACATCACTAGTAGTATATAACCATGCAGAAAGCACATCACACTGACAGCACATCGGCAAAGATTCTGCACAGGTTTATCAGCTTTCCACATTGTGCAGGTTACACACGATACAATATCAATCTTACTCCTAACAAGATCCTAAGAAGATATTTCAAGGCCTAGCTGTAAACTACAGTACTTTATATCTATATTCTTAATAAAGATAAAAAATCCACAAATCTTAAAAAGGAATTTTAAATGCAGGGCTATATTGAATTGGTAAACTGCAACACAAACTGGCGCAACAGAGGTAAATGAATACCAATCTCACTCTATGTGATGCAAGCATGCTACTTTCCCACTAATTTAAAGTACTTTCAATCACTATGAGCCAGAATGCATGCCTGAACCTTAAACTGCACTTTAAAAAGAACGTCTTGGCCTAGAAATTAAATCTAATGAAGTACAACCATCAAATTATATCCACTACATTAATGTTATAATGCAAAATCAAGATGTCAATCTTTAGTCTGATATGCCCAACCCCATTTATTCCTCCCTCCCTGCCCACCCCACAAAGGTAAAAGGAGTGACTCATTTGGCATTTCACAGGGTGCTTCATTGTTTAAATTTGTTTTGTTTTATTTCCAACTTTTTTT